GGGATGGCTGCTGTCAGCCGTTCTTTCACTCTACCTGAGCTCACTGTTTTTGTAATGGCTCCACCTCTTTCCAGTGTGTGTGTGTGTAGACAGACTCAGGCTCCATCTTAAACCATGACAGCCTCATCCTCTCTGCTACTGTTGTGTTATTAGTCTTATGTTTAAAACTGGGCGGTTCTTTGGGCCTAATGTAGTTTTATTTGCATGTTATTCCTAAGTACAGTCAGGGAAAAATTATTTGAACCCCAGCTGGTAAGTTTATTTGAACAGTGAGAGACAGAACAATAACAAAAAAATCCAGAAAAATGCATTTCAAAAAAGTCATAAATTAATTTGCATTTTCATGATGGAAATAAGTATTTGCTCCCTTTGCAAAACGTGCTTTAGTATTTGTTGGCAAAACTTTTGTTGGCAGTCACAGAGGTCAGATGTGTCTTGTATTTGCCCAGAAGTTTTTCACACATCTCAGGGGAAATTTTGCCCCATTCCTTTTTGCACATCCTCTCCAAGTCCATGTTTCGTGGCTGTTGTTTGGCAAGTTCAAGTTCAAGTTCAAGTTCAAATTTTATTCGCCACATGCAGTGGCAGGTTGCCCTACAGTGGAATGAACCCGCCCCCCGACCATACACACATAACACAGACATCACATGGGAATACAAGTCAGAGAACAGTTGCATTACAGAAAAAACACTGAAATGTACACTACAATGGGAAAGTACAAGAGGAAAAAAAGAGACCTCTACTCATGCTGGGCTATAGAGGACAGCATGAGAACAGGAAACAAAAAAACTCTTCTGCACAGAAAGCACACAAATGTCCACAGTACAACATTATAGAGCACGTGACCAGCAACAGGGTTGGGTAGGGTATAAGGAGTAATCCCAGGCAACACAGCAGCCATCCTGCCACTGCGCCGACTCTCCAGACCCGCCTCGTGTTCCCAGGAAGCAACAAGTATCGAAGGCATTGGAAGGGAAGGGGGGATGTGTGAGTGCTTATCAGTGTAAATGTATATGTGTGTGTGTCCATAGTTCAGCTGAGACAGTGTCCTCCGCCCTATCAGGCTAAGTAAACAGTCTTCCAGCCAACCCAGGTGGCCTTGCATAGAGTGGGAAGAACAGTCAACACACAGTCGTTACCAGGGAGTTTTTGTTGGGCTCCAGCCTTGAGCCCACAGCTGGCACCGAGGGGGTATCCGCATTTGATGTTGATGTTGTTGATGTTGTTGATTTTTCTTTTATGCAAGCAGCTCATGAAAATTTCAAAGCTGTTCTTTAACACTCCGACACTGGTCTCTCAATCTCCCGTTGGAGAACCGCGAGCTTCTCCATGATGTTACCAAACTTGCGGTCCGTGGTCTTGTCATTCTTGTGCTCAGAGAGCCGATTCTGAGAACTCGCGACTGCAGTGAGCTGTTCCACGATGTAATCCAACTTTCGCTCAGAGATGTTATTCTG